GCAGCCAGGTAGTGTCCCATGGCTGATGGTGCCATCGACCAGGAGTCACCCACACAGCAGTCAGCCCTGCCCACCCCAGGGGCAGTGCCCAGCCTCTGCACACCTGCCTCGGGGCCTTCCTATCCCACCCTCTATCTGCAGCCGCTCAGCTGCTCCCTACGGGCTCCTCTTGGCTTCATGGCCCCTGACTTTCCTTGCACCCTGTCAACATGAGTCACACACAGCCACCCGGGAGGTCTTCAGTGTTGGCTGGCATGTGAGCAGGTGAGGGAGGGCAGGAGCAGGGCCAGGCCTGACACTTAGAGGTGACCAGTCTGTCCCACAAAAGCTGGACACGTGAGATGGATCATGGTCCGGTGTCATCAGTGATGGAACCAGCCTCTGTCCTTCCAGCACCAAGCACTGAGCTAAGGTCAATCCTGGGCCTGTGGGCTCTAGCACCTCCTCCCCAGGGGCGGTGCCCAGCACCACCCCTCACCCTCCACCACAGAATCATCCACACGGCCAGGGCTTCACCCACACCTGCTGTGATTTCACCTGGATGTTACGGTACAGGAAAAAGRCCAGGCCTTGTGGGACCACAGCTCCAGAAGACCCATGGCCCAAGAGCAGGGGGGGTCCCGCAGACAGGCGAGACCAGCACCAGGAAGGTGGGAGTCCCTGCGAGGACTTGGTGCCCTGTGTTGAGGGCAGGACAGAGTGGGTGGGAGCCCCGGGACAGGTGGCAGGGAGGGAAGCAGGCTGCCTGGGCCAACATAGAGGTCTTAAGATCTGCACCTGGAGATCCCCAAGGAAACTTTAAAACAGCATCTCCCTGCTTGTTCTTAAGTTAGCTGAAATGGTTTTTTTTTCATTTTTAAAAACTCTTGGTGTCCTTCCCAGCACATGGTAAGTATTGCCATCTTAAGGCAGAAGAGTCACAGTGGTTTGTCAGCCTCAGTGGAGGAATGAAAATGCCGCCATCACCCATGGGACGCCGGCCAGCTGTCTGCGGCAGCTCCTTGAACGCAGGCCCTAGCCAAGTCCCACAGCTTGTCCTAGTGCAAAACATGCTGGACAGCTGTGCACCATACACCTTCCTGCTCTCCTAAGCATGGAGTGGGAGCTCAGACCCCCTGCCCCACAGCCACAGGGGTGTGAACAGGTGAGGGTTCAGCCATTGGGGCCAGAGTAGAAGGCACGTGACCTGAGACAGCTTGAAGGGTGGAGTGCTGCTCACCACTCCTCCCCTGCTCGGCACCTGGCTGCCTATCCAGAGAGTGGACAGCATTCCACGGTGAGCACAATGGGGACAGAACCCCCAGCCRCCCTGGGGTTCACAGGGGAGGGCTGGAATTACCCTGTGCTGTTCAGGCCATTGAAAACCTGGGGGCCTGGCCTGGCCTTTCCTGCCCATGTCTTAGCTCACCTCTCCTGCTTTTTGGAGACAATGTACACATACACTGAGAACGTCATTGTCATAATTTGTGAAACCCTGCGGCTGAGCATGGCAAACAAGAATTACATCTGGATCATCCTTACAATTAATTCTAAATACACAATCAAAATAACACACACTGCCATATTTCACCAGTAACTGAGCACGCAGGTAAAGGTGAACTGGAAGCAGAGCCCTCAGTGGTCTGCAGGGGCTTCTTGGCAAGCACTCCTGACCTCATGGAGGGTGTTGTGTAGGGCTGCAATGAGACAGGCTGCCATGACATTGTTTTCCCATCTTCCATCCTCATGGACAGAAGAGTTGAGAAACCCCCTTCACCTAAATAAGGGATGGGATGAATATTTTGCTGTAGTACTCTTCCCTCAACCAGTCAGGAACCTGCTGGTCAACACCACATGTTAACATATCCCCAAGAGAAAGGACAAGCTGCTCCCCAGTGCAGTTCCTTCCCCAGATAGGATCTGGGAGAGCACCCTGCAGTCTGGGCTGCCTTAGTGTGAGATGCAGACATGGACCCCACTCTCCACTCCCTCATGCCTTCTCCTGGGAGGACCACAAAGCAGAGAGGCTGGGCACCAGGGGTCCCTGCAGGATCTGAGCCCCTAACCAGGGTGCCATCAAGGACCTTGGCTCTGGCTCCTACCCCACTCCCACCTAGGCCCCTCTATGTCTTTGCAGTGGGTGGCAAAGACAGAGAGCTCAAGGCCCAAGTTCCAGTTTGTCCAGGTGCCCCTTTCCCAGGATTCCATGCTTCCTCTGCTAGATGTCAAGATGGTAACCATCCAGCAACTCTTAGGGTCACAGGATCCCATCCACACATTTACCATTAGTTTTTACTGAGCATCTATTATGCTCTGGATGCTGCTCTAGGCCAAAACAACTGCATCCACTCTGCAACTGGCATGCCAGATCAGAGTTCATCTGGAAATCGGCAGCCTCCCTTATGCCAGAATCATCAACCAAGACGCATAACAGAAATAGGTCGCCTTTTGTGCTGAGGATGTGGCTCAAGTGGTCGCACGCTTGCCTGGCATGCGTGAGGCACTGGGTTCGATTCTCAGCACCACATAAAAATAAAGATATTGTGTCCATCTAAAACCAAAAAATATTTTTAAAAAAATAGGATGCCTTTTATAGAGAAAAAGCGCATGATCTAGGAAATGACCTGATGCACTAATGCAGTTAGACCTTCATGTAGGAAGCATTTTGATTCTATTACATGATAGATCTAAATAAAGCAAGAGATGTACTATGTTCATGGATAGTATGACAGTACATAGTTCAATTTTCCTCAATCTATACATTCAAGACAATTTCATTGTTCCAGCTAGATTTTTCAGAAACTTGACTAGATCATTCTAAAATACATATGAAAAATAAAGTCTGTGCATACCCACATCAATATTAAAAAAGAACAATGGAGATACCTGCCCACTACAGATTAAAGTATACTACCAAGCCATCATTATACAAACAGAGGTACAGGGCCAGGCACATGGACCAAGAACACAGAGACCCATCTAGGATGCATGGCCAATGCCTGAGAAAGGGATCTGCGAGAGGGTGCTTGCTTCCTTGGCACTGAGAAAACTAGCTCATTTTGTGGAAAACTAAGCTGCACTCCTACATGAAAGTACCCTTCCAGCTAAAGATTTATGTCAAATTGGTAACATAGTCCATGGGATTTTTGGATTGAAATTTTATGGTAGAATCATCTAAAAATCTCCAAATTACAAACTACTTCAACTGAACTGATTTGCCTCAAAATGCAAGGTTGTTTTCTGATACTTATTCTCTCTGAAGTCACTGAATGACTGAAACACTATCACTCCCTTGGACAGACACCAGATACCTTTGTGACATCAGAAAGAAAATCCAAAACTACAAGCCTTATTTAAAAAAAATATTTAAAAAAATAAAAGATGGTTTTGACTCCATCAAAATTAAGTATCTCCATTCAGACCCCATGGATGATAAGGCCGACAGACAGAAGGACATGGAGGGGTCTACAGCTGGTAACAAAATGCATGTACGGAAAGGGAAGAACTGCAAACTGCCAGGGAAAGGGAGTTCAGAGGCACGGTCAGCTCTGAGCAGCCCAAGTGAGGACTGCCCCAGTAATCAGGAGACCCACACCCTGCACCCGGGAGTAGATGCTAGGAAGTGTGGCAGCCCCACCCTGGGAGTCCTCAGAGAGCTTTAGGGTGACTGTGCCYGGGAGTCCGGGGTACCTGGGGGAGGGTGCTAGAAGCAGCTGACTCAGCATGGAGAAAGCAGAATCTGCAGAAGCAGGAGCACATCCTTCAGAGATCAGGGTTTGGGTGCCAGAGAGGGTCGAAGGKCCAGAAACTGGCCAGGCTGGGAGAGGGTGGGAGCAGGCTGGGCACTGCACATCCCTTCCAGAACATCCCCGGGGGTGGGCCGGCTACCGGTGTGCTCACGAATGCTGGGGCTCGGGAGGCACCTGCTGGATGGATTTCTGCAGGACGTGGCAACCCCAGGCACACTACACTTACAAATACTGAGGGAGGGGGCAGCAGCGGAAGATCTGAGCCAGAGAGTCCTGCAGGCGGCCAGGGCAGAGGGGCGGCCCCGGGGCCCGAAACTAAACCCACAAATGGGCCTGTAGTCAGTCGCTCCCGAGGGAGCAGCGGGCCTAGATGGCTCCAGATGTCGGATGAGGGTCAGAGAGGTGGCAAGGGAAGCCCCAGAGCACTGGCGACAGCCGATGGCGCTGTGGGGCRGAGGTGCGGGGCTGAGGAGCAAGGGGACCCGCACCGGGTGACGTCGGACCACCGCCATGGACCCGGAGGCCTGGAGTTGGGGGCGATGGCTGCTGCAGTGGAGGTTCATGCGAGAGGGAAGACGCTGGGGAGGGCGCCCCATAGTGTCCGCGTGCCGGCGCCAGCAGGGGAAGCGGAGGCCCGGCCTCCCCGCCGGTGCCCGCAAAYCAGGCCGGACCCGCTCCGGGCTGGGAGCTGGAGAGCCGAGGTGGCAGGACGCGGAGCCGGGCGCGACCCGACCCCGGGGACCCGCGGCGCAACGGTGCAGCCCAGCGCGCGCCCCCCGCCTCCGCCCGCGCGCCCCCGCCCGCGCCCAGGGCAGGGTAGCCCCGCTCGGCCCATCCCGAGGCGCAGGGGCCGGGCACCTCAACTCCGCTCTTTTAATTTAAATATTTTTTGCCAAGTCATCGCCGGCGCCGCATCTACGTGGCGGGGGGTGGGGGCGGAGCCACGCCGCGGAGTTGCCGCAGGTAAACAGCCCCCTCCCCGGCGGGAGCGGGCCGCGCGGCCCGGGCTGGAGAGCCGCCGCCGCCCCCGGGAGGGACGCAGGGCGCGGGCCGGCTGCAGCGCGGCGGCGGGGGCGGCGGCGGCCCTGCGCCCCGGCGGCCCGACCCCTCCCGCGGGGCGGCGGACCCCCGAGCCCCGCGAGGTGCCGCGTCCCCACTGACCTCCCGGTCCCGGAGCCCCGCGCCCCCGCTGCCCCTTCCMGCGCCCACCCGCTCACGCGCCAGCAGCATCCCGACGCCCCGCGCCCCCTCCCGCCGCGGGCCCGCCCGCGCCCCCCGCCCGCGCCCCGCAGGGCCGCGCCCCCGCCCCCCATGCACCACCTCCTGGAGCAGTCGGCGGACATGGCGACCGCGCTCCTGGCTGGCGAGAAGCTGCGGGAGCTGATCCTGCCGGGCGCGCAGGACGACAAGGCGGGCGCGTTGGCCGCGCTGCTGCTGCAGCTCAAGCTGGAACTGCCGTTCGACCGCGTGGTCACCATCGGCACCGTGCTCGTGCCCATCCTGCTGGTCACCCTGGTCTTCACCAAGAACTTCGCAGGTGAGGCAGCGCGGGAGGCGGCGCGTCCGCAAGTGTCCGGCGCTGGGTGCTCCCCGCGCCCCCGCACGCCCCGGCGCTCACTCCAGCCAGGCCGCACCCACCTTGCCCGGCACTGTCCAGGGCTGTCCTGAGACCCTCTCTGTTTTATTGCTGCTTTACCTTGCATTTCTTCAGCCTCAAGCCCCCGAGGACTAGGCCTGCCCTTCACTTGCTGGGCTCAGATGTAAAAGGGACGTGGGGTCTGGGCTGTAAAACGTCACAGCGGGTCTGAGATGTTGAAGTGTCCATGTGAACACCAGAAAAGGATCTTATAGGTGTAGAGGGCAGACAGCCCTGGGAAAGGATGGTGGAGACCCCAACTGCTGGGGGAGGGTCTGTGGAGCCCTGTTCCTGGCCAGGAGGGTAGAGGAACCCGGGTCTCTCAGGACAGGCCCAGAGAGCCTCTGTAGGTCTGCAGCAGAGGAGGCCAGGCAAGGTGCACCACGGAGGCAACATCAGGCTGGTCCAAGTGATGGTCCACTTCGGTGGCACCTGCAAAAGCTGTTTCCGCATAGTGTGCAGACATGTGGCTAGGGGGTCAGCTCCATGATGGACAAGCCTCCTAGGACAGACGCAGATTCAGGTGCACACATGGGCTTGGCCTCTCTGGTGCCCTCTGCATGGGGCTCCATGTTCTGACACTGCTAAGCCCAGCTCCCCATCTCTGGGGCATCAGCACACCCCTATATCCAGCTGGGCCTGGGGCTGACAGGCTCCAAGTGCATCCCTGACCCCAGGGCCTGCCCCTTCAGACCCTCTGCATTTGCACACAGACACACCTGGGGACCACATGCCCTGGCCCTCTCCCCACTGCCATTCGGGGCCCACTGCAGTGTCAGGAGGGGTCCCAGTGCCTCTCCAGCACAGACAGGTAGGGTTCTGAGCAGCAGAATGTGCCCGGCCTGCGAGGTCACTCCAGGCGATGGGCCTGGGGGGCTCTCTGAACTGCTCTTCTGCTAGTGAAGGAGGCCCGTGAACCCATGACTTCCAAGCTCGACCACAAAGCCCTGGCTGCTTCTCCTGCTGGCTTTGATCAGGGTCTCACTGAACCTGAAGCCATCCAGGGTCCCCAGACACATGCTAACTCCTGGGGTGAGATGACCCCAGACAAAAGGGAAGTTGTGGTACCACCCAGGTGGGAACCACATACGACCTGGGTGGACTTGGGGGGAACTCCTGGGCTGGGGGTGGTGGAGGGTATGGTCAGAAGCTCTGGCCTCTCTAGAGACCCCCCACTTTCTGCTCTGGACAAGAGCACCAGGAACCTGGGCCAGGGTCCTGAGATGTGACTGCCCTGAGAGGCTGTGGGGCTGCTTCTCGGCTCTGTGTCTGCCTCCGTCTGCCAGGACCTGAGCCTGAGGAGGCAGGCACAGGGCCACCAGGGTGAGCACCTGAGGCTCCCTCAGCCCTCCTGGCCGGGCGTTTCAGTGGGTGGGCCTCAACCCTTCTGGCTGAGGCAAGATGCTGAGACCCATGTCCTGTGTCCCTGGTTTGTGCACCAGGGACACAGAGTAGGCCTGTGCCATGACCTGTAGAGGTGCCGTGGAGACAGGGCCTAGTGTGGCAGCACATGGCCAGTGCTCATCAGCCTGGCCCCATCCCAGTGCCAGGGCCTGGCATGCCCTCCTGGGGGTCCTGGCCCTCGGTGCAACCCGCTCTGCTGTGTTAGGACAAGCCCTCCCTTGCAACACAGCTGCTCACCACTGGGCAGAGCTCAAGGTAGAGGTGGACTTTGGAAGACCCCACGCCCCTGCCTGAAGACCAGCTGGTGGTGGGCCAGGGCTACCATGAAATCCCACTCTCCCCGCTCCGTCCCCTCCCCTGGACTCTCTGCTGGGGATGGCATAGAGTGGGGGATCAGGTGGGCAGAGCCCAGACATACTGAAAGGGGAGAGGCCAAGAGTCACCAGCTTCCTCAGATGCTGCCGAGACCCTGCGGGGAGGCCACCTGCTTTCCCTAAAACAGATCACCAGGGCCAAGTGTGCAGTGTCCTCAGTGTGTCCTGGTGAGCCGTCCAGCCCACCCCAGGAGTGTCTTCTTCCCTCTCAGGAAAGGCACCAGGGATCTGCCTGGATCTAAGTGTCGGCTGCCCAGGGCCTGCACCGGGCAGCTGGGGCCTCTCTGCCTCAGGGTCCCAGGAGGGCTGGGTCTCCAGGGTCAGCGCCCACTTACCCACTCTTTTCCGCCACCTCTGAGGGTGAGCCCTCTCCTCCCCAGTGGGACCCCCTGACAGGCCCAGCATCTGGGGCCTTGTTTTTGTGGGGATCAGTTCTGGGCATTCACTCAGCTGTGGCAAGAAGGTGCTGGGTGGGCCGAGACTGGCTGGGACGTCGCCCGGCGGGGGGCACCTGCTGGGTGTACAGGCCCTGGGCCCAACCACCAGGACTTAAAAAGAAAAAAACCACAGCTGCCGCCTCAGAGTTCTGCAGTCGGGAACCTGAGTGAGGCGCAGGGGCTGCGGCTACGCCCGCGGGCACGGTCCTTCCAGAGCAGGTCTGTTCCTCCGCTTCCAGCTGCTAGATGCACTGTGTCCCCCTCTGTCCAGCCAGCAGCACCTCCCTCTCTGGCACCCCTGCCGCTCCTCTAGCCCTCCCCAGCACCCTCCCCCGGGGACCTTAGGATCACACATCCCACCCAGATCCCTGTCACTCGGCCTGGGTGGTGGAGGTCTGGGAAGGACAGCTTCCAAGCAGTGGCCACCTGGGTGTGTGCTGACTTCCCTGGGGCTGCATCAGGCACTAGGCTCCCGGGCACTGCGCTGGGCCCCATGTCCCCAGGTGAGTTGAACAGGCTGGGCAGGTGCCTGGTTACCAAGCAAGCTTCTTGGGTGGGAATCCCAGTGTCCCCTCATCAGGGACAATGATGCCCGTGGCCAGGGCCCATAGAAGGCTATCCTGTAGGGAAAGGGCTGCCCAGAACTGCCTCTGTCTATGGGCTGGGCAGGCCTGTGTCTCCCCCAGACATCTCCCTGGCCCAGCGGGGGCCACAGGGCCCCTGGGAAATCCCAGGGGAGTCCCCTCGAGGGTCTGGCCTGTGCGCCCCAATCCCACTGCCCCAYTCAGTGTCAGGTCCGTGGTAGCCCCTGCTCTGCGGGGCCACCTCACCCTGCTCTGCACACCCCGGTGAACTGCTGCACTGCAGGGAGCACAGGGTACCTCCRCAGGTGCAGGCCCCTTCCTGTGCCTTGTGAACCTTGGGGCAGGCCTCTCACCTGCATGGTCCTGGGGAGCAGATTAGGAAATGGGCAGAGTGGCAAGTGGGGCTTGTCTCCCTTACTGCCACCGCCCAGCAGACAGGGTGGCAGGCTCTCCACACYGTGCCCCAGAGGCACTGCACCAGCCACTCAGGGGTTGGGGGCCACCCCCATCCCAGAGCCTGTTTCCCTGTGGCCTCCCCACAGGGTGTCATCACAGGGTGGGTGCCTGCCCCAGGGAGAAGAATATCCACCCCCCTACAGCTCCTGGGATTGGTGTTAGGGACCAAAAGGGAATAAAATGATATTTTTTCAACCAAAAGAACTGATCCCTCTGCCTTTCCCTGTTTGCTTTTCTCTGAACTCAGCTCGGCTCTTGGTCTGGACACCTGTCCTCAGGGAACTCAGGCTGTGGGGACAGTCCAGGCTCCCATCTCATGAGGATGCGGTGCCAGCTGCTTCAAAGAACCCTGGCCCCCACCCCATCTCAGCAGGGCTCCCTCTGCCCAACCCACACCTCCCTAGAACCCCCCACAGCTCCCCAGGACTGTCCCATAGAGTCTGTGGGCCCTGTCTTTGAAACCACCCTTGGTGGACCCACCTGGGTCCTTACTGTGTGGACTGGAAGACACATTCCTGGTGAGAATGGTGGCAACCACGGGATCTGCACTGGGTTCTGAAGGGCTGGGGGGGGGGGCCTGCTGCTGAGTGGAGGCCAGGGCTGGAGGCACCGTGGGGTCTCTGTGCCCAGATGTGTAGCCAGCCACTGCTCCCAGCCCCCTGGGTCCCTGAACAGCTGCAACAGTGGATGGTGGTCTTCCTAGAGAGAGCTGGGGTCTCTGAATCTCCCTCTGGGTGCAACTCAAAGGCAGGGCACGCACAGGCTGCTGTGCGTGCAAGCCTTATAACATGGTGGTTCTGAGCTCACCTGCCCTGGTACCTGAGGGTGCCAGTCCCATTTGTGCAGAAGAGGGTGGGAGGAGGCTGGAGCCCCACCTGAACGCACATTGGCTAGGGGCCCTCAGGCTCTGAGCCTCAAGGCTCCACTCCCAAGAAGCCTCAAAATCCAGAATCCCTGCATGGGCAGACTCGTGCTGTAGGCTGTACTGACATCAGGCAGACAGGCTCCTGGGGAGAAGGTGCCCTGCAGCAATGACCATGGGACTGCAGTTACAGTGGCAGGTGTGAAGTCAGGTCCCTGGCCAGGTTTGGTGGCGCCTACCTACCGATAATCTCCGCCACTCAGGAGACTGAGGCAAGAGAAATCATCCCAAATTCAAGGCCAGCCTCAGCAACTCAGTGAGACCTTGCATCAAAATTAAAGAGCTGAGGGTGTCTCTCAGGGGTCGAGTGCCCCTGGGTTCAGAACGTCCCTAGTACAAAACAAAAGGGGGATGAGTCCCTCCCTGGATGCTCAGGCCAGCAGCCAGGACCTGGGTTTCAGCTGAGCTGGGGTGTTGGAAGATGGCCAAGTGGTGTGGCCTGTCTTGTTCTCTTTAGGACTGTTTCCCCTTGTGCCCAGTCTCTGTGGCATTTAGAGACCAACATACATGTATAGGCCAGTTCCTGGGGCTGGCATGGGCAGGGCTTAACCCCTGGCTGACCACCTTGTGGGGGTATTCAGGATAAGATAGTGATCAGAAGATGGGGAGAAGCTAGTGGGGGCGGGTCCATTGGGGCACAGCATCCCTGCACAAAGCAAGTAGCTATGTGGGAAGGAGCCATAGTACTGAGGCCAGCAGCTGGTGCAGGAGTGGGCCCCCGCTGCCCTTTGCCCCAAGCCCTTGTCTCCACCAGGCCAGTCCCACCTCTGTCTCCTCTCTGCCCCCAGAGGAACCCATTTACTGTTACACCCCGCACAACTTCACTCGTGACCAGGCGCTGTACGCCCGCGGCTACTGCTGGACGGAGCTGCGGGACGCGCTGCCCGGTGTGGACGCCAGCCTGTGGCCTTCCCTGTTTGAGCACAAGTTCCTGCCCTACGCCCTGCTGGCCTTCGCCGCCATCATGTACGTGCCCGCGCTGGGCTGGGAGTTCCTCGCCTCCACTCGCCTCACCTCGGAGCTCAACTTCCTGCTGCAGGAGATTGACAACTGCTACCACCGGGCGGCGGAGGGCCGCGCGCCCAAGATCGAGAAGCAGATCCAGTCCAAGGGGCCCGGCATCACGGAGCGCGAGAAGCGCGAGATCATCGAGAACGCCGAGAAGGAGAAGAGCCCCGAGCAGAACCTGTTCGAGAAGTACCTGGAGCGCAGGGGCCGCAGCAACTTCCTGGCCAAGCTGTACCTAGCGCGGCACGTGCTCATCCTGCTGCTCAGCGTGGTGCCCATCTCCTACCTGTGCACCTACTACGCCACCCAGAAGCAGAACGAGTTCACCTGCGCGCTGGGCGCCTCCCCCGATGGGCCGGCGGGGGCCGGGGGCCCGGCGGTGCGCGTCAGCTGCAAGCTGCCCTCGGTGCAGCTGCAGCGGATCATCGCGGGCGTGGACATCGTGCTGCTCTGCTTCATGAACCTCATCATCCTCGTCAACCTCATCCACCTCTTCATCTTCCGCAAGAGCAACTTCATCTTCGACAAGCTGCACAAGGTGGGCATCAAGACTCGCCGCCAGTGGCGCCGCTCCCAGTTCTGCGACATCAACATCCTGGCCATGTTCTGCAACGAGAACCGCGACCACATCAAGTCGCTGAACCGGCTGGACTTCATCACCAACGAGAGCGACCTCATGTATGACAACGTGGTGCGGCAGCTGCTGGCCGCCCTGGCCCAGTCCAACCACGACGCCACGCCCACAGTGCGCGACTCCGGCATCCAAACGGTGGACCCCAGCGCCAACCCCGCCGAGCCCGACGGCTCTGCCGAGCCTCCAGTGGTCAAGCGGCCTCGCAAGAAGATGAAGTGGATCCCCACCAGCAACCCGCTGCCACAGCCCTTCAAGGAGCAGCTGGCCATCATGCGTGTGGAGAACAGCAAAGCCGACAAGCCCAAGCCCGTGCGCAGGAAGACGGCCACCGACACGCTCATCGCGCCGCTGCTGGACGCCGGGGCTCGTGCGGCCCACCACTACAAGGGGGGCGGGGGTGACGCAGGCCCGGCCCCGCCCCCGGCCCCCGACAAGAAGCACGCCCGCCACTTCTCCCTGGATGTTCACCCCTACATCCTGGGCACCAAGAAGGCCAAGGCTGAGGCCGTGCCCGCTGCCCTGCCGGCTTCCCGGAGCCAGGAAGGCGGCTTTCTGTCCCAGGCAGAGGAGTGCRGGCTGGGCCTGGCCGAGGCACCCACCAAAGGTAGGGTACAGAGTGGTCTGGGGTGGGAGAAGGAGGGTGGACCCCCACAGAGTCCCGGACAGGAAGCCTAGGAGGGAAGCAGGTGCTGGGAGCCGGGCGAACAAGGCGAAGTTGCATAGCCTGGGTCTAAGGAGGGCGCAGTTGTGTCAGCTGCAAGGGCGAGGCACAGGCCTCTCCGCAGCTTGGAGGACCTCCCCGCAGCTTGGAGGACCTCCCGAGCCCCGAGAAGGCAGGCCAGGCTCAGGACTGAAGGCTGCTCTTCCCCAGTGGACTTCAGCTCCCCTGGCCAGAGAGGTGCTTCAGGCAGACGAAGGCACCATGTTCCTGGGGCAGGCTGCCTCTGCAGGCCTGGGAGGAAGCTCAGGGAGGGGAGGGCCAGCCCCTCTGGGATGCTTTGGAGCCGGGAGCCTCTCTGCAGGCCCTGGAGGGCACGGGGAGGGGCCCGGCAGCTGGGGGGACTAGAGTGTGAGGTGCCTGTACACCTGGCTGTTCGCAGATGCTCCACTCCCGGAGAAGGAGGCTCCCTACCCCACGGAGCCAGCTCTCGCAGGGCTTCCCTCTGGTGGCCCGTTTCATGTCTGCTCATCCCCAGCAGCCCCTGCCACGGGCCCTCTGTCACCAGCCAGCCTGGGCAAGGCTGACCCCCTTGCCATCCTGAGCCGAAACGCCACTCACCCCCTGCTCCACATCAACACCCTGTACGAGACTCGGGAGGAGGAGGAAGGGGGTCCCCATGTGCCCCCAGACATGGGCGACCTCATCGCCATCCCCCCACCCCAGCAGATCCTCATCGCCACCTTCGACGAGCCGAGAACAGTTGTGAGTACTGTGGAGTTCTGAGGGCACCGGACACCCAAGCCAGTGAAAGCCCTCTGCATGAGCAAGGGATGTCCAGCCCCGAGTGGACATGGCCTCGCTCACCCAGTGCCGCCCACATCCCCAGTCTCCCATCGCATGCTGCGGGGCTCAGCACCCTTCCAGTGGGCCCGAGCTGGCACAGGTGCGTGGGCRGATTGGGCAGAAGGTGGGGTGCTGGGCTGCCAGATGAAGAGTTTATTTTTTTAGTCAGTTTTGCTGTGGACCAAGGCTGTGGCACGACAACTCGGTGCCCCCAGCCCGGATCCAACCCAGAGCCAGCCAGGAGGACACGGGGGAAGGAGGTGCCAGCTGCAGAGCCACTCCCCAGGCATCACCGGCCCAGGGCTGGCCCCTGCAGGGACCTGATGCCCTCAGGTGGGGGCCCAGGCCACCCTGGGTCTGATCAACATGCACTTTCCTCAAAGCCTGACTTACAGTTTATTTTACTATGGCTACTATAACTGACTATTGTCATCAGGAGACTTAGGGTGAGTTGAAAGCAGAGGGTGTGTGTGTGTGACCGTGTGAGCAGAGATGGTGTGAGCGTGGGTGCAGGTGCGGGTGAGTGAACCGAGTGAGTGTGTGGGCGAGGCTGAACAGGTGTGTCTGCAGGAGTGCCTGGTGCCTGTGAGCAGGAGGGCAGGGCAGGCGTCCAGGGAGGGACTCCTACGCAATAACCACGCCCCTCCTGGGCCCCAGCTGCCAGTGAGGCCCATGCGGCTTTCCAGGGGAACCCAGGCCGCGGCTGGCCCCGTCCCTATTACCTCAGCCACCGTGGCCGGTGACAGTATCAACAAGGTAGCACTGAGCATATCAATAAATATTATTCTGATAACCGCCTGTGCTGCTGCCGAGTCCGCATCCCTGCCTCTGGCGCCACCTGCCCACCCCCCAGCACAGCCTGTCAGCGTCATCATGGGGGCACCTGAAGGGCCCAGAGGGTGAGGAGGGGGAGCATGTGGAGGGCACTCCTGGAGAGTTGCCACCGGACTCAGCCCCTGGGCACAGGCACAGATCGGGGCTCCCACACTGAGGGGACCCCAGGGAAGACATCCCTAGGTCAGATGCTTGCAAGCAGGGGGCCAGGCGGACTGCCAGAGGAACGGAGCTGCAGGACCCAGAACAGCTTCCAGGAGGAGGGGCCCTTGCTGTGGACAAGGGTGTTCATGTCAGGGGTCCCCTGCAGGGCATCTGCCACCTCAAGTCCAGGGTTCGGTGGAACAAGGCTGGCCCCATGGAGCCACATTCCCTGCAGGTTGGACCTGTGGGCTCCCTGGAGGCAGGTGGCTGGGGCAGATGGGGCCAGAATCCATGGGCAGTGGGAGGTATCGGCCCCAGATTGCTGAGGTCAGAGGGCACCCACCTGCTCCCTGGCCAAGGCCTTCAGGAGGCTCTCTAACGGGTACCTCTCTGAACAGTCCTGGACACCAGTGTCCCCGTGAGTCAGGATAGTCCACCCTCCAACTTCAGTGGCCAAGTATGCAGCCACCACATCCCAAGCCCAGGCATGAGGGGCATGAGGACCAGGCTAGAGTCCACATTCATTTAAAACACAGGTTTTATTCTCAGAATGCTTAAAATTTTTATTACTGTTCAGGTGTGGTGAGGTCAGCAGAACAGGAAACACCGGCCATTGAAAGACAGTCTCTTGTTAACAGACCCCAGAGGAGGGGGCTCCCCATTCCACGCAGGGCCACTCAGGGAAGCACCAGGGTCAGTGCAGGCAGGGGAGCGACGGGCAGCACCCCCACTGTGGCCTCCACAGGAAGGAGCAGGCAGGGCACATAGGGGGCTTAGGATCAGCCAGTTTGAATACCTTCAGCAGGTGCTGGACACAGAGCTGTCCCTGGCTGCCCTGGGGTGACTGGGCAGGTGGGTGGCCCCACATGGGCAAGAAGATAGAGGGGCGCAGGTTGGGTGATTTGGACATGACGTCATTGGCCAGTCCCAGAATTAGCCAGCCCTAGGAGGGGCAGCCTGTCCAGGGCAGCCCAGCCCAGGTGTGCAGAAAACAAAAGGTGTGGCTTATGCACCCTGTCCCCCGACCCGGACACCTCTCTTGGCCTGCCTCCAGGTAGCACTCAGCGTCTCACAGTTCAGGGAAGTCACCCTGTGGCCTGGACAGCTGCCTCCAGGCTGCTGCTCCTGGATACCAGGTCCTGGCCCCTCGGCTCAGGCCCTCACTTCCCAGCACTTCTGCACAATGGCAAGCCGCACCTGGCAGCCAGGTGACCCCAGAAAGCTCACCTGATGCTGACCTCATTCCTGTCCCCTCACCCTCGCATGCAGAGATGTCCCCGAGTTACCTGGAAGCCCACGGATTTGGGCAGTGCACATGAGTCCAGCTCCTGCACTTGCCTTGCAGGCCTTGCTTCCTGGCTAGTGAAGGGAAATGTCACTGGCCACAGAGTGTCCAGGCAGGGGCTGTGCATACCAGCCCCTGAGCTCAAGCAGAACAGAGGTGGACACAGGAGCTCCTTGGAGTCTGATGGGACCAGGGCAAGGGCAGCTGTTTTGCCCACCGGTGCTCTGGGCCACAGCCTTGCAGGGCATTTCAGAGCCAGTCCTGTGTGGGAAGAGTTCTGTGTTGTAAACCCATGGCCCTTTGTGCGAGGCTGACCTTCTGCAAGGGGAGGTGGCACCGGTCGGCATCCTGTAGAAGTAGCCACGGCACTGTGAGTGCTGGGGATGCTGCTGCCTGCCCCCCAGACCTGTCCTCTGGCTGTGTTCCAGTGGGCCACCCCATCTTCCCCAAATCAGATGGCCAGAGTCCTGAAGGAAAGGGTCCTGTTGGCCCCTTGGGGTCAGGAAAGACTGAGTCCAGCCTTTCCTCCAGCACTTCCTCCTCTTGCCTGTGACCAGGTTCCTACTTCCATCTGGCTGGGATGATTGATCCTGCTCCACTTCAGACCAAACTCCTCTGCTTGTGCCTCTGGTTGGGGACCCAGGAGGGCCTTCCCTCCCCTAGACTAGCAAATAGATTCAAGCCAAGTTCATTTCTCTTCTTAAGGGCCCAAGGGCCCCTCTGGTTTGGTACAAGCCCTGGTCACTGCTCCTAGGGCCACGTGGACCCCTCTCCCTCAGTCTCCTCCGAAGACCCTCCACAGCTCACCTCAAGAAGTCTCCCCTCTGGATGCTTGGATGAACAGAGGGAGCTTCCGCGGACAGCCACCCAGGCTGAGGGCCCACAGTGTCAGGACAGACCCGCCCCCAGCAGCATGCTCAGAAAGGCTGTGACAACACCAAAGCTGGCTGTTCTCCAAGCACAGCCGGAGACGCGGGGAGGCCCAGGCCCTGCCAGCATGGACTCCTGCTCTGCTCTCCTGCTTCTGGCCTCTCAGCCATGCACAGTATGGACTGAGCACAGGCCTCTGCGGGTCATCAGAGGGCGGTGCTAATTCCCACCACCCACCAGGGGCTAGGGTTTCAGGCACCTTCCTCTCCCCACAGGCCACCCTGTGGCTGCCAAGGGGTCAGCATTGCCTTCCCCTCTTTGGTCCCCTTCCCTCCAGTCCTGAGCAGAGACAGCAGGGCAGAGGGTGCACATTTCCTCCTACTGAAGAGGACGTGTTCTGGGAGAACCCCAAACCCATCCAGATAGCCAGGCCTGAGTCCCAGGCCTCTTTCCACCACGCACGCCTAGAGCTGGGAATTTCAACACTCCAGACCCTGGTGCCTCAGGGTGACCTYGGTGGGCCTGCCAAATGAGCTGGTGGCCTCTGCTGGTGCTCCAAACCCACCCCTTGGTACCTGCGGCTCTCTTCTGAACTTGGCCTTGGTGGGCAGAGAGGCAGAAATGAGGATAAAGTCCAGGTGCAAGAACGCAAAATGGGTGGAGAGGAGAGCACCAGCGCCATGGCTGGGCTGGTGTCCTTCCACCAAGGGGGGCCAGGTCAGGCCCTCTGGGACCCAGAAAGCTGTATGAGGGAGGAGGGTGGCCTCCTGTATGGGCAGTCTGCTGCAGGGGACCTGCCTAGTGCAGCATGGACAGCATTATCTCCCACAGTGATATAGCGCTGTGGCCACCCCCATACTCAAGACATGGGAACCTGTGACATCTACACATCACCAGGGTCAGCTCTTTAGAAGCTTTGGGCTGGGGCCTGGGAACTGGACAGGGCAACACTCCCACCTGGGGCCTGGTGGGTCATCAAACCAGGACCTGCTCTGGGCAGTCAGTGACAAGCCTGCCCTGGGGCACTCAAGTGGAGAGATGGACGCCTTCTCCCGGACCCCCTGGCCTCTTCCACCCACTCACCAGCGCCTGGGAGGGAAGACAGACACCCACCAGACCAGCTGCCAGAGTCTGGGACCTGACCCCCCACGGTCCTGATGCGGGGTGGTTGGCTTGGTCGGGGCCCCTGCTTCGGCTGTCCTGCCGGCCCATCCCTGCCTGCGCGCTGAGTCCCAGGAGGYCGGGTGGAGGCCTCGTGGGCGCGAGACCTCACCCCCGCGATCAAGTCTCTTTCCTGTCCCATTAACGGCTCACAGAACGCTTCAGTTCCAAAGTTACTGAGCCCAAGCCGTCATGTGGACGCCCAGTGGACCCTGCCCCATTGCACAGACCTGGCAAAGGCGCCGGCTCTTCGGAGCCTGGCGAGGCCGCGCGATAAGAGAACGGGGACACCCAGCGGTGCGCGCTAGGCCCCGGGGACGTGGGACGAGAGGTTGTGGCGTGCGCTAGAGGGCGAAATGCCAGGTGGCAGGGCGCACTAGGACGCGGGGTCGCGGGGAGGACGGGGGCATGCGCTCGGGAGACGGGAGCGCTAGGACCCGGGCGCGCGGGGAGGAGCGCGGCGTGCGCTCGGGAGACAGGCGCGCTAGGACCCGGGGGCGCGGCGTGCGCTCGGGAGGCGGGAGCGCGGGCGGGCGGCGCGCGGGCCCCTGGGAGGCTTCCCGGCGTGCCGCGCGCCCGGGCCCGTCCGGCGGCGCGCATGAGGCGGCTGCGGAGCGCCGCCGACTGCTTGGTACGCGGCGGCCGGGCGGGCGGGAGGCGGGCGCAGTCCKCGGCCCCCGCGCGCGTCGGGCCCCCGGGCGGAGTGCGGCGCCTCGCGGGCGCGGGCGGCCCCGGCCGAGCCCGGCTCCTGGGCCTGCCTGCGAGGGGCCGGGCGGCCGCGGGCGGGAGGCGCCTCCCGGGCCGCCCGCGCGGGGAGCCCGGCGGGCCTGGGTGTCCGAGGGCGCGGGGCCGCGGCAGGACGGCGGGGCGGGACCTCAGCCGGCGGCGTTTGTTGCCGTCCGAGGCTGGAGGCTGGAGCCTGGAGGCTGGAGCCTGGAGCCCGAGCCCCGGCGCTGGGCGGCCCGGCGCCGGGGCTGGGGTCTGACGGCGCCGGGGCTCCAGCCCCACGTGGGGTCCCGCCCTCCGGGGCTCCCCGAAGGCCCTGCCCCTCACAGGCGTCCGTCTCCGCGGTAGGACTTCAGCGTGTGGGTTTCGGGAGGACGCGGTTCCGTACCTAGTAATGGGACCGGGAGGGACAGCTGCCAGGCCGTGCGGTGGGCAGTGCGGTAGGTGTGGCCACGCACTGCAGCCGGCAGCCGCGTGGGCAGTTGCGTCCCACCCTGGATCCTGTTACTCCGACCTGGGGCTCAGGGTTGCAGCTCCAGGGGCCCAGACGAGAGCCGCCTTACCTACCCTTGAAGCCGATGGCCCTCTCTGGGCGACACAGGCTGTCGAGCTCTCGATCAGAGGCTGCTTTTCTGGGAGCCTCGCTGGGCGGAAGTTCCAGCCTCTGCAGGAGGCTTCTCCCACCCCGTGTCCATCTCCCACCCCAGTCCTGCTCTGTAGGGAGAGCTGGCTGGGGACATCTGACCGAAGTCCCACCAGCACACTAGCCTGGTGGTGTGGCCAGGAACAGGGCCGGAAACTGCCTGCAAGCTGCCGGGGAATTGGGGAGAAGAGGAGGCATTTATCTCCCCTGAGGGTAGCAGCAAGTGGCCTGCTGGGCTCCAGGGAGGACTGGAACCTGTCTCAAAAGGACAGAAAGCACAGGAAAGTGGAAGCCAGGCTCTACTCCCCACTAGAGAGATGGTGGCTGATAGGGGAGCACAGCAACCTGCTGAAATCACACCTGAGAGTATGGAAACCAGAGTTTGGGGAAGTGTGTGTGTGTGTTCACATCAGAGAGAGATGCTCAGACTCACAGACCTTGCGCCTGTAGCCTTCCTGCTTAACTGTCCCTCGCTGGGCAGTACTGCCCTTGGTGGGTGGCTGTAGGGGCTAGGGCTGGGAGCCTCAGTGGTCCTGGTGCTGCATTTCTGTAGGTTGGTCATCATGGGGCTTAAGGCTTGGCTCCTGGCCAGACAGACTCCTCTGACCCACAGCCCCTATGAGAACAAGGCAAGACCCATTCCTGCTGCAGTCCTGGGCCTCTCCAGAGCAGCCTTGGAGTCATTCCTCCAACCCCAGAGGCCGAACTGTCCTCCTCAGGCTCAGGCGTGCCCTGGGTAGGCTGACCACAGACTTGTCTGCCACACCCGTGGGAGGGCAGAGCAGGCTGAGGCAACGTGGTCCCCTCCCATTCGCTGGTGGTGCCACGTCCTCCTGCCCAGCTGCAGAGGGTGTTTGTTTTTTTTTTCCTTCATGCTTTGGCAACCTTGTTCTGCTGATAAATAAGAACTGTTTACTTCCGCATATTAAGAGGGATTAAGGATGGTCATCTCCCATTTCCCCTCTGGAGCTGAGGGGTCTTCTCCCCCCAGCTCTAACTGCTCTCCACCCTCTGCTTTCTTTTTTCCAGCTAGCCCCACTGCCCTGGAAGGCAGGCTCCCCCAATCCTCCTGGCACTTCTCCCTTTTGCGTTTTGGTCAGTGCTTTGAATAGATGGAGCACTTTAAAGAAGGGAAGGAGGAGGTCCCTAGGGGTGAGGCTCAGATGAGCCAAGGCCTGTACAGTTTGGCAGAAACCTTAGTTGTGCACAGAACCAGAGCCAACAATGGTCCTTCCCAGACATGCTGACCCTTATAACACCCACGGGGTAAGGCAGTTTCCAGGCTTGAAAGCCCAGGTGCAGGGGAGTGGCACACAGCCCTGCACTGGTGTGGACTCCCCTCTCTCATACAGTGACTAGTGGTTTCAAGGGACCCGAGGACTAGGTTTCAGAGGCCGGCCTGGGGTCTGTCTCCCTTAGTCTCAACTGAACTTCCTCCACCCTGGCCCTAGTAGCTTCCTGCCCTGCCCTCTGCTGCCCCTTTCTCCATGGCAGTTCCTCTTCCAGGAGGCCCAGCCATGCTTAGAATGGCCTTCTTCCTCTTGTTCAGCTCCAGGGCAGGTCTGCGTCCCTGGACACCACATCAGGTATTCGGTTACATCTAGAGAGAACCCTGTCCACCCAGGTGCTTCACCAAGTTCCTGCCTGTTGCAGATGAGGAAGTGAGCTCAGAGGTGCTGTGCTGGCTCGGCAGTTCAGCCAGGTGCCACGGAGGCTCTCTGCTTGTGCTTACCACAGTGGGGTAGCCCTAGCATGCCAAGGGGAAGAGCTTGAGAGAGCACTGTCCATTCGCTGCTCATTTCTTCTTTATCATGAAAGCTTTGAGAAGCATGTGACAATGCAGAGGCAGGTGTAAGCGGCAGAGGATCCCAGCATCTGCGGGCTGGAGCCTTGTCCACCAGCACCTGACTGCAGCGTGGCCTCTGAGGCACATTCCCCTCAGCACACACACTTCTGACACATACACATGGTCTGGAGACAGAACCGTGGAACCATGCTTCCTGCCGCAGCTGACAGCACAGTGGAATGTTCTGGTTCCTTAGCATTACAACACCTAGTGGCCAGATTTCTCCAGTGGAAAGAGCTTATTTAAACAGTTTTCGCAAGCTGGGGCCCAAACTCGGCTGTGCACTGCCCTCAGCCAACTTGCCTGAGTCTTTTCCCTGGCAGTGTGCCGTGGTGTGAGTCTTGCGGCCTCTGCCTGTGACTGTGTGCCAGGTGTCCCTGTCACGTCAGTTCTCAGCTCCTGCAGCACTATGAGCGGAAGACACTTGGATATTTTAATAGCTCTGCCAGGTGGTGGAGCTTCCTTCCACCAGCAAGTGCATGAAGTCCACTAAGCAGGTCCAGGAAGAGGCACACGAAGGGACAGGGCATGTGGCCAGCGCTCAGCATGACACTGGTCTCCACCATGGCCTCAGTCACCTCAGGCATGGGTCTGACTGGTGTTCTGCTTGTCCCCCTTTGGTCAGTGTGTTCCTTGTCCCTCTGTGCTGTCTGACATTCCAGCCCCTCATTCCTAGAGCTCCGGGTACCTTTCTGAGAGACACAGTGTGAAACCTTGATGTGGCACCAATCCAGGCCTTGTCAGCATTCTTTTTTGTGGGAGTGGCAGGGTACTTGGGATTGAACTCATGGGGGCTCTGCCTCCTCAGTCTTTTTTTTTTTTTTTTTTTTGAGACGGGGCTTCCCTAAGTTGGCCATTGCAGTCCTCATACCTCAGCCTCCCAAGTTGCTGGTATTACAGGTGTGTGCCACCACACGAGGTCCCTTGTCAGCATTTCCAAGGCAGGTTCTTCTGCCTTGTGTTTGTCTTAAACTGAAGAAATGCTAATCTAAGGATGATAACTGTCTGACGGACAGCCATACTGCTGTCACCACCCGCCTGCCATTACTAAAAGAGATTGAGGGTTTCTTTGCAGTGATTACCACATTGTTGTGTCCTGAAATGGACTTCAGGAGTTTGGTACTACCTGACCTGATCCACTCCCGCTTGCTCTCAGTGCTGGGGGTGGCGGGGTCTCCTGTGTGCCTGCCCTGCTTGCTATTTTCGTTTTGTTCATCAAGGCTGCCGGCCTCTCCCCAGCCAGGCCCCACCCGAAAAGACCCTAGACTTCAGTAGCCAGTGTCGAGGTGGGAAGCCTCAGGTCCTACTCCAGCGCCCTTGTGCCAAGAGCCCTGAGCCCTGTCCTGGGGCCTCTGTGAGGACCATGTCCTATCTCCTCAGGCGTCCATCSGTCAGGAAGCCAAGTCGCAGCCATGGAGGTGGAGGAGCAGCCACCTCAGGAGGTGAGGGGGTGTTGCTGGGCGCTTCTTGAACAACCCTGGGGTCTGCAGCATTTGTGCTGCTGCTGCTCAGCTCGGTGGGAGATCCCAGGCACACTGCCCACCCCAGTGTGGCCTCTGTCACTCCAGCTGTTTCTCTGCAAAGAAYTTGGCACAGCCACTGGGTTTTCTAGAGTCCAGCAGGAAAACCCCCCGAGGGGAAGGTCCCTGTAACCGCTGGCCTGGGGGTGGCCTTCAGTGGCAGAGGTCAGCCTGATCTGGGAGGCCAGAGCTCAGGGAACATGATCACCCAGCTTGGAACTCTCCCTCCACCCACAGGCTGATGGGGAGCCCGTCCTGACATCAGGGGCCTCGGGGTCAGTGCCCAGGGTGCTTTCCGGAGAACCCCAGAACCTGTGTATGTCTTCCCTTGCATCCTGGCGCATTTCCTGGGGTGGGCCCGTAGGCTGGGGGAGGCAGCTGGCCTGGATACTGCCGAGAGCCTGGCAGAGCTGCAGACATCCCTGGCCCACCAGGGAGTGGAAGGAGCTCTTGAGTGCATCAGGAGCCCCTTCTTGCTGTGCCCCAGTTCTGCCTGCTCGGAGCCCCTGTCCTTTACCCAATCCAGCTCTAGTTGGAGTTGAGCAGTGGCTGGGACACTTGGTCCCCTTGCTGTCACCTGCCCTGGGTGATCCCTTGCAGCAGCCTGGGTGGGATGAGGGACAGATGTAGCCTAGATGCCCATACAGTCACAGGAGCAGCCATGGGTAGATGTGCCCAGGAGACTCGCCCCCCACCCACACACGCTTGCCTGCAGTGCTGGCTTCATCCCACTGTGGCATTTGCTGTTGGTGCAGCTGACGTGGATGCCTTCAACCTGCTCCTGGAGATGAAGCTGAAACGGCGGCGAGAGCAGCCCAACCTGCCTCGCACTGTGACCCAGCTGGTGGCTGAGGACGGGAGCCGGGTGTATGTGGTGGGCACTGCCCACTTCAGTGATGACAGCAAGCGGGATGTTGTGAAGGTCAGTACCACCTTTGTTGGCCATTTGCCCTGGCCTGTTCTCCAGGGCCACCCCCACAGGCCTGGATGCAAGTCTGGGTGGGCTGAGCCCCAGGACTGCAGTGGAAGTTTCTGCTTCAATGTGGTCAGTCACTAGAAGGTGGACTCTCACTGTGGACCTGTGCTTTCTTCCTTTAGAAGCCCACCTGCTTCATGACTTTATTTTTATTTGTTTTTTTAATTTTTTTTGTTGTAAATAGACAGAATGCCTTTATTTTACTTGTTTATTTTTATGTGGTGCTGAGGATCTAACCTAGTGCTTCACGCATGCTTGAGAAGCACTCTGCCACTGAGCTACAGCCCCATGACTTTATTTGTTGCTTAAAGAAGTAAACTGTCCCCCACAGCACAGTTGTTGGCACCAGGCTGGTGCCTTCCTGGCCACCTCTTGGAGGGAGGGCGCTGGGTCTGGGTATGGGCCCTGCCCTGTGGTGGCCAGCATATATCTAGGAGAGAGGTGACCCACCTTGCAGACCATCCGGGAGGTGCAGCCTGATGTGGTGGTGGTGGAGCTCTGCCAATACCGTGTGTCCATGCTGAAGATGGACGAGAGGACGCTGCTGCGTGAGGCCCGGGAAGTCAGCCTAGAGAAGCTGCAGCAGGCTGTGAGGCAGGTGCGCAGGCAGGTGGTGGGTGAGGCCTCCCAGGTTTTCGTGGGGATACGGGGCTGCCCTGTTCCCTGCAGAGAAGGTGTTGGGCTCAGGGCCAGGGTCCCAAGTGTATTGCATCCTGGCTTCTGATCAGCACCCAGCCTACTCTGACCCTCCACCTTGGCTGTGGAGAGGAGGGGGCATTTCTATCAAGTTTCAGATGAGGAAGGACAAGGTAGATGATGATCTGACCCTAAKGCAAAGATTCCTGATGTCAGGATCTCAGCAGCATCTGGCCTGCCTGTGCCCCACCTCATGGCTACATGGCCCTCATCCGACACTGCTTCTCATTTGTGTGTGTGACTTGGGGGCAGCCCAGCACCATACACCCAGCTGCAGCCAGCTTGCACTCCAGGGGTATCCCAGACAGCTTGGCCTGCTGTTCACCTGGTGCCCCCCAAGTGAGGGAAGTCACAGCGGACCTTCACAGGCCATCTTAAGAGAGGTGGTTCCCTCTCCAGCCAGGGATCATTAGCACCCATCCCACCCCCAGAGAGAGGGTCAGTAATCTGCTAGGAAGCACATAGCTGTAGCTGGGCACAGGTAAAGGGGCACAGAGGAAAGAGGCATGAGTCAGGGTCTGGGAGACGCCAGCACCAGCCACACCTCAGTCCTGTAGGAAGTCTGAGCACTCAGTCTCCCCAGCTACAATGTGACAACACAAACATGCTGCTGACAGGATGGAGGGCCTCCTGTGCCCTGGTGTCCAGAGCATTTGGCGGGCTCAGCCTCCAACCTCTCTGGAGGTCAGATTGGTACCATGTGGTCTAGATTCCTGTGAGTCTCATGGTTAGGTTGGACCGCCTGGTGTGGCCTGAGCCCCAGGTAAGCAAGGACACTCCTGTCAGCAGAACATCCCCAGGGGTCAAAGGCCAACCTTGCTGGGATGTGGACAGTCTACCAGCAGCTCATGGGTAGAATCCACCCAGGGCAGTAGGCTTGGACCACAGCCTCATGGTCCTGCCATTTTCGGGGTGGTGGGGGATCTCCTAAGTGTACCCAACCTCGAGCCCACTGGTCTGGCCAGACCCAGAGGCAGCCTGGGCTGTGGTCTGTGTGAACATGGCCTACCAGGTGACCATAGTGCCATCCGTATTGGCCTTGGCAGGCAGGTGTGGCGAGCAGTGAGGCAGCCTCTTGGAGACCCTGAACATCGCTGTTTGCCCAGGATCAGCCTGTGTCTCTCACACACGGTCAGGCCATCTGACTGTGAGCTGGCCCCTTTCCAGCCCTTGACTGTCCTATAAAGAAAGACAATGTCCAGAAAGAAAATGTGTTTGAAAGATGGCTGTTGAGGCCAGGATGCCTCTGCTCTGGAACCCACCTGGGCCCTCCTTGCATGCCAGGGCAGCCTCCCCTTGAGTGTGGAAGGAGCCCAAGGGTGTTGGGCACTGCCCTACCTCCCTCCCTCTGGGCGCCACCTGCTAACATAAGGCCTCTCCCTGCAGAACGGACTCATGTCTGGACTCATGCAAATGCTGCTGCTGAAGGTGTCTGCCCACATCACAGAGCAGCTGGGCATGGCCCCTGGCGGAGAGTTCAGGGAGGCCTTCAAGGAGGTGGGTACCAGGCTTGGCCTGCAAGGGATCGGGGAGCTGCTGCACCCATGAGTCCTGACACTCAGCCTCTGCTCCAGGCGAGTAAGGTGCCTTTCTGCAAGTTCCACCTGGGTGACCGACCCATCCCAGTCACCTTCAAGAGGGCCATCGCTGCACTCTCCTTCTGGCAGAAGGTCAAGCTGGCCTGGGGCCTGTGCTTCCTGTCAGACCCAATCAGGTAGGACAGCCCACCTGGCCCTCCATGTACATGTCCAGCAGCTGTCCCTGCCTCCTCTTCCAGCTGAGCCTCCTCCCACAAGGACCCCCAACCTCCTCCCACCATAAACCCCAAATAAACAATGTGGTGGTCCCTGCCCTGGGCCAGCAGGACCAGCCTTCGCTGGCCCGTCTCTGCGGGGCTGGCAGCGTGCCCTCTGCCCCCAGCAAGGACGATGTGGAGCGCTGCAAGCAGAAGGACCTGCTGGAGCAGATGATGGCCGAGATGATCGGGGAGTTCCCTGACCTGCACCGCACCATCGTCGCGGAGCGCGATGTCTACCTGACCCACGCGCTGCGGCAGGCCGCCCGGCGCCTTGAGCTGCCACGTGCCTCTGAAGGTGGCGGGAGGGCCGGGCGGGGGCTCCCTGGGATGCAGTGTTCCCGGGCCTCCGCTGACCTCCGCCCTCCCCCACAGCCGAGCCTAGGAAGTGTGTCCCTTCCGTGGTCGTGGGCGTCGTGGGCATGGGCCATGTGCCTGGCATCGAGAAGAACTGGAGCACCGACCTCAACATCCAGGAGATCATGACGTGAGTGACCAGGCCCCGTCCCTGCAGCCCCCAGCGGAGGCCACGCTGGGTCCCCCAATGCACGGTGGTGCCCACACGTGGGGGGCTGGGGCTGGGGGGCGTGTGCCCCAGCCAGGCCCAGCCCCCCCCTTTCCTCCCCCAGCATCCCCCCGCCGTCCATCTCGGGCAGAGTGTCCAGGCTGGCCTTGAAGGCCGCCTTCTTCGGCCTGCTGGGCTACGGCCTGTACTGGATGGGCCGCCGCACCGTGAACCTGGTCCTGTCGCTGCCCACTATGCAGTACTGCCTCCAGAGGGCGTCTGAGGCCCGGCCGCGCCAGTAAGCAGCCCGAAGAAGCCAGCACCGCCCTGGAGTCGCCTTGGGTGCAGGTGCATTAAAGCCACCCCCCATGGGGGTCCAGGCCAAGCCTCGCTGCCCTCCCCAGCCCCTGCCCACCAAATAAAAGATTATTGAATCATCTGAGCTCGGGCCTCCCAGCAGCCCCCTCCACAGCGCAGGGGCTGTCCATGGGCTTCAGCACTCAGGCCAGCTCCAGGGGCGGGATGGGAGGTGYCAGGTGCACAAGACCCGACCCCCTGGGCTGGGCCCGGTGAGCTGCTGACTGTACCTACCTCACTGTGCCTTGTGCTGCAGCTGGCAGGAGCGTCTGGTCCCAAGTGCATCTCCCGGTGGGTTTAGGGCCCGCCGGTTTGGCGAGGGCCAGACGCCCCACACCGCTGTGTACTGGCAGCTCCGCGGGAGATTTGCTGACCTGGATGTGCCCTGGCTGCAATCTCTGCCTACAGAGATTCTGTGTTTGGGTTTTTTTTAATGTCTAAAAATTTTTCACTCAGGTAATTTTAGCTTCAAAGAAAAACAAAAACTGGAGCAAATGTCAGGAAATACAAGCCTTAAATCCAGCTGGGACAAAGAGCAAGGCTTCCTTTGTGTCTCTGATCTGAGTGGGCGTGTGCACGTTGGGTCAGCTTGGGGTCCAACCCAGCCCTCTGGGGGCTGTACCTGAAGGCTGGCACAGGCCAGGGCTGCTTCAGGTGTGAGGTTGCTGTCCAGGTCCACCCTCCTTGAGGTCAGGAGGGCCTTGAACCTGCTGTCTGTGCATCCAGGGGGGGTACCTGGGCCACCTTGACTCTTGGTGGACACCCAGACAGTCTGTGTGTCAGCCTGTGCCACACAGCGCTCCTGGTCAGCTGTGGCCAGCATCTGTACAACTCCCCAATCAGGGCCCAGGGTCATTTGTCCTGTGTTGACTGTCAGCTGAATCAGGTAAAACCCACCCATTTTGAGCTGGACAGGGACTGCCAAGCTGGCTGGGCTGTGTCTTCCTGTCTCATGTTTGTGGATTTGTTCCCTTAGAAATTGAAATAAATTCTAATTTTGGAAGCTCCTGCTTTGTGAAGTGTGTGGAAGTGGGGCTCAGGTGAAGGCACAGGGAGGACCTGGCCTCCCATGCCCACCCCCTGGGCCTGCAGGATGCTGAGGGCACTGCCTGAGGCCTGGGGAATGTGCCGTCCACCTTAACGGAGGACACAGTTCTGGCACCTACGTATATTTAGCAAAGGCCTCCACCCAGAAAAGTAGACTGGGCCCAGCCAAGACAGCCTGCTCAGGGTCCCTTCATACCTCCCAGTACAGACTTGCACACATGAGGGAAGGAGGCCCAGTGGGGACCAACAGCATGAACCTACTCAAAAAGAGACCCACAGTGAATGGGGACAGAGGAGGCTGGAATGCAGAGGGCTTGGCGGTGGGTGCTGGGTGGCCTCTTCCCCACGTCTGTTCCCTAGGAAGCTTGACTGGATGCCCCATGCTGGGTCTTACTGTCCTCTCTGGCCTGCATGAGTTCCATGGTACCAGCAGGTGGGCCTCACTAGCCCAGAGGTGGGCAGGGGCTTTAGGGATGCCACACCTATGCCTGACCAGGTCTTCTCTCCACAGGCCCCAGGTGGTGCTGCTGAAACCCCAAGGTCTGGCTGGGTGGGGCATGAGGGATGAGAGGTCAGGCACCAGCTGGGCCCCGCTACAGGTCTTTCTAGCCTGCGTGCACCCACTCAACCAGGTGGCTTCTGACCCATCACCCACACTCAGTGTCAAGACTGCTTCCTGCTTTCAGGACCTGCCTGGTTTCTGCCCAAGAATACTGGGGACAGGTCAGGACATCCACACAACAGGCTGCTTTAGGCTCATGCAGGAGGGTCTGGTGTGCCAGGGTACTCCTGGACCACTGCCAGGCCAGGGCAAGGTAAACCCCCACAGGCAGCCAGTAGGGCTCATGTTGGGTGTCAGAGACAGGTGTCAATGCACAGTGGGAGGATTACAGGACTGAAGCCCTGGCCAGCTGCTTCAGATAGAGGAGGCAGCTGTGGCCTCCAGTGGGAATGGTGGCTGACTGGTTGCTGGGACAAGGGTGAGGAAGTTTCTGCTGAGCCAGCTCAGCCCCATCCTGGGAGGAACTTCCCTCAGATCTGGGTGGATAACCCAGGGCCTGCTGTGGCAGGTACACCATCCAGCCCAAGGGGACCAGTGCCCCTTCCAGGTGAGCAGCCACCCACACACTGTACTGCAGCCTGGGGTAGGGACCTACCAGTGCTTTGAGCCCAAGGGTGAGATGCCAATACACATGGGTGGAAAGAGGCAGGGAAGGTGGGCTGTGCTTTACCAGTGGGGCTCCAGCCCACCCCCTGAAGGCACAGAGGTGTTCACTGAGTGCTGTTCACTCCATAGGTGCTGGGCAGAAGGTAGGCTTGGCCTCTGAGTCCCTGGGTGGTAGAGACTCGGGTGCAACCTCAGAGCACCGTCAGTACACTGGGTAGCAGCTGCATCTGACAGACTGTGGATCTTCACCCTAATTTTTAAAATTGTTATTATTTTAGTTATAGATAGACACAATACTTTTATTAATTTTATGTGGTGCTGAGAATGGAACCCGGGGCCTCACACATGCTAGGCAAGCAAGCGCTCCACCACTGAACCACAACTGCAGCCCTCTTCATCCTATTTTTGAAAATCCAGATTTCTATTACAATATGGGTTTATACTACATTGATAAGGGCAAAAACAATGGGGTATGGGCTGGGGATGTGGCTCAAGCGGTAGCGCGCTCGCCTGGCATGCGTGCGGCCCGGGTTCGATCCTCAGCACCATATACAGACAGAGATGTTGTGTCCACCGAAAACTAAAAAAATAAATAAATATTTTAAAAAAATGGGGTATATGTTTTTCAGATAAATACCTGTGAATCCTAGTGACTTGGGCCAAAGCACGATTGAAAGTTCCAGGCCAGCATGAACAACTTAGTGAGATCCTATCTCAAAACACAAAAAGGATTGGGGATGTGCTCACTGATGAAGTACCCCTGGGTTCAATCTCCAGTACCTAAATAACTACTTAGGGGAATGTGGCTGTCAGAGAGGAGTAGGCTGCATGGGGCTGCTAAGGCTCCTGCCAGTTTCTCTGCAACACACGAGGGTGGTGTCTAGATGGTGATTCAGAGTTGAGACTGGGGCAGAAAGAATCCCTGGACTCTGAGAGGTCCTGGCAAGAGTACAAACAGAGCTTCAGAGGGTAGGAGGATGGTACTGGCCATGGGCAAGGGCCTGAGTCTTGTCCTAGGGACTGCAGCTTGGATCTCCACAGGACACAGGGAAGGGACAGGGGAGGGGAAGAGTGGAGTGGGGCCTCTAGATTAGGTCAAGCAGAAACAAGATGTGGCTGGGAGCTGCTGACCTGAACCATGGCACCCACTCCTCAGACCATCACTAGCTGGGGCTGAAGCATGTCTGAGCCCTGACCTCCAGCTGGGTCTGCAGTCCTAGTTGGCTGTGGGCCTGCAGGACATGGACAACCTCATACCTGGGCCCAGCCTACTATAACAGCTTCCATGCTGGCAAGGAGGGTCAGCTCCCCCAGCTAACCTTGGCCAGCACTCAAGGAACACTGCTGAGCACCTGGGACAGCAGGGGCTCTCCAGTCCACCTCCCCTGCTCCCAGGAGGACTCTCCTGCTTTGCTGAGAAGCTCCTACAGGTTAGGAATGAGGGTTGGGGGGAGGGAGGTCCCCAGCCCAGAGGTCCCAGATTTCCCAGTACCTCTGCCCTGAGGACTTTGCCCTGGGGGTCCCATATAGTGAAGCAGCTCTGGGCACCTTGGGACTGGGAAGACCATGGAAACACACAGAGAGGGGCTGCTGAGCCCACTGCCCATACCATCCAGGGGATATGGTTCCAGGGCTCAGGACAGGCTGACAGCCAGGTGGGCAGCACCTTCAGCATACCAGATCAAGACCCTTCCAGAACAAAACTGGAGACTTTGCTAGCTACCGCCAAGATTAACTAGGCACAGGCTGGTAATAAAGCAAACGAGGCCAGGCAGGCCTCAACAGGCCATGGCCAGGGTCTCACCAGGCTGCCTCCAGCCTGTGCTGGACAGCAGGCAGTGACGGGGTGTAGGAGAGACGGGGTGGGCCCTGCACCCCAATCTGTTGTGTGCTTGCACAGTCCTATGAGATATCAGTGCCCCACTGGGCCTAGGCAGGTGGAGACTCATGCATTAAGTTCAAGCCCCTCTCTGCTRTGTCTTCTGTGCTGATATGGGGTGAGGGGCAGCCAGCTCCTGTCCTGCCCAGCCCCTTGGACCCTGGACTGCTTGCAGACACTCAGGAGGGCTTCTTGAAGAAGGCCATGCAGTTCAACGGTGTAGCCAGAGGCAAAGCCACCAAGGCTGAGAAGGGCCACAGCTCTTCTGTGCTGACCTGTTGAAACCCTTAGTACCTACCAGGTGTCCCCTCAGGCTAGCAGGTCACACAGCCTAATATTCATGAACTCCCCAAATCCAGTCCCAGCCGATTGTGGCTGAGACAGGGAGCCAGGGCAGGATGGTTCAGTAGCACCCAGGGCCTGGGAAGAGGAAGGGGTGACACTAAGCTATGGCCCTGTCTCCTAGGGCAGTGACAAAGGATACTGGAAACTGGAGACAGTGGCTCCAATGGCAGGCCTGGTGGGAAGACCCCAGATAGGCCCAGCTGGGGTACTCAAAGATCAGGGCTACTGTCCAATGCTGGAGAGGATGCCCATTCAGCACAAACTAACTACTTTGTCTCCTCATCCACATAACTCTCCACCCCATGCAGAAAGTAAGTGGGTCACTCATGGTCACCCAATCCCACAGGGGCAAGCTGGGGTCACATGGGGTCTCAGAAGCCCATGCTGTGGCTCCAAGAGAAAGTTCCAGTTCCTTGAAGTGTAGAATGGGGTGGGGGACAGAAATGGAACAAAGACTGGTTGCAGCCAGGAGGGACCATCTACCTTTGTCTAGTGTCCCTGAACCCAGCTCAAGGTCTCAGATTTTTCTTTGGGACCAGGTCAGGTAGGAGCTTAGAAAGGGGGACACCACAAGCTTGTCTGAACCTTCTGTCATCCTTTAGCACCTGCTCAAACTCCTCACCTGGAGAGCTATGCCTGACAGGAG